AAATGGTCAAATAAAAGAAGTTTAAAATACCACATAACATGTATCCATAACAATAATGTCGTGCTAAACGATATTCAATAATCGTAACATCATTGATTAAATTGAGAGGGAGACAGTTTACATTTTCAGATTTGTTTTCAAACAGATGTTACGTTTGGTTCGATGCCAGGGATATTTGAAATTATATTTTGTCTCATAAAGACAAATTATGAAAATTGAGACTTAATCTACACCTGAAAATAATTCAAACTATTCATTTCAAAAGTGATTATCTGTTTTCAAAACCTTAAATCTATTTACAGTTAAAACTTTCTGTGTATAAATATATTGACCAAAAAAATCCCTCCAATTAACCATATCATTGTTTGTAAACATTTACAACATTATGTAACAACGAAATATTATTTAATAAGATTTCAACCTTTTATTGTTAAAGATATTACCTTAAATCATAACATAAATAAAAAAGAGTAAGATACTATTTATAACCATGGACTTTAAATTTTAACATTTGATATCGTTACTACTCTATAATACATTTTATTTTCACGATCTGTTTCTGTATGTTGCAGTTTAACCCTTAGCAAGTCTGCGGCAACATATTCTAAACACTAGTTTATACCATGCACAGGTAACATATCTGTACTGTCCGATCATAATCATAACAGATCACTCTTAAAATTTCAAAGAGGACGTAAAATACCGTGTCTGCGGAGGGGTTCCGGGCTTTGGCTTGCCCTGCTATAGACTACACGTGTATATTAAAAAAGAAATAAAATACAGACATATATGGTCTTCTATACCTGTCAGTGATATTTCCATTGTCATGTCTAGTTGGGCGCCGCCAGTTTTCAATGTGTCTCAATGACAATAGGCAGACTATTCCGATAAATAACAACCACAACTTTTCGGCTCTAAAATAATCGTTGAGCTGATCCAAGTAAAAACGAAAGCGATGCATGAAATACCGAATGCCACCTACAAAACGGAAAAATGTAAAGTAAAATAACACCGATTTCCCTGTTCATTGGCATTTTCCAATTTCATAACAACTTTTAGTCTTAATTAAAAGTTTGACAAGTCTAATATATTAAAATATTTAGTAGATTTAGAATTAAATAGGTTGAGATTTTGACGATGAAGTATCTTTTTTGTCAATGAAATATCGTTTTATCAGACATTCGCACTAAAGTACGTATCACAATTACGTGTGGGAAAATCTTAAATCATTCCATGAAATTTAAGGCGGTCTTCCAACGCATTCTCTGTCACATTCATATCCACGTGATGTTTCAGCTATATTTCAGTTGTAAACCACAAACATTTTGTTTAAGTTCTATTTTGATATATTATATATAAAATACGTGAGTTGTAAAGGATTGAAATACTACGTCTCTTGATAAATTCTTTCTTGTCAATAACCTAGACTCATAAAACATTCAATCACCATGTGTTTCTTCTCAGGTTTCTGTTCTTTTCAAAGATTTGAAAAAGTAGCGGACATTGAATGAGTATATGTGCGTTACTGAATTTATTGAATGACTTGAATAAAATTATATTTCGCGAGCCTCTGACGGACAAAATATTAGTTTATTCAACGACTTTAATAAATGAATTATTGAACAAACACAAATATAATATTTTATTTATCACATGTCTAAAATATAGACTGTTTAAAGTGCAAACAAGTCTTTGTTTATTGACACGCGTATTGTGTAACGCTAACATTTAGCATGTTTTACACTATGTTTGTATAACGCAAATGACGTCGCGTAAAAATATATGCACGGGCATGCAATATCATTTTTTAAGAAGTATAATCGGCAAAGGTATGTGATAAAAATTAACCCATTTTTCTTTATTTTAGTTTCTTAAATAATTGTTAAAGCAGATAGTCCTGTTCGTGATAGCCAAAAAGAAACATTTAATAAATACGATAAAATTTATGAAAAGCTTAGTTGCGAGAATGATCGCAGTAAATGTGGTTACCTTTAGCAACAGAAAACTTGAAAAGAGGCTTCGGCTTATTGTAATGTTCAGAACATGAACAGTATAAACCGCGCTCTGAACACCGCATACATTAGTATTCATTTTATACTATACAGCTTGAGAGGGCCCAAGATATTTAGACGTCAAGTTTTAGGCAATACGGCAAACAGAAATAGTAAACAAACCGCTCGATTCAAATTTTTGAACACACAAGTTATTTATTTCTTTATAAAAATAACCAATTAAAGCAGTGTATAAGGAGGAAAATTGTTTATTAATAACATGCGTGCATGGTAATGATTTTCTTAAGGTTAAGATTAAGTTGCTTTTTATATTCTATGAATTTTAAGAAAGAAACGTATCCTTCCAATGTCAGGAATGATGGCCGATGGCATTGAATCAAACAAAAGCATGAAAAATCAGTTCTATTTTCATGTCTGCCTATTAATTTATTTCTGATTAATCAATGCTTATGATTTTAGTTACAGTTTTGTCATGTCTATTAACCTTTACATGATACCAAGGGAGTGTAAAACTAAGACTAATTAGAGAATATGATAACTAGAGAATGTGATTAAAAAAACAAAAGCACATGCTATTTTTGCTCGAATATTTCATTCTTAATTAGATTGTTGTTTGACAGGTGGGGCCGATATTGTTTGATTTTGCATAAAACTGTTTGTATTTATTTGTTATAATATCGAAAATGGACAGGACAAACACTTTCTATCGAAACTATGTAAGACTTGCCTTTATATTCTTTATCAATTTTATGTTTAATTCTGTAAAACGCAAAATTGTAACAACACTCGTATCACAGAATCTTACTTGTATACTTCGTTTCTATAAATCATCTAATCATGAAATTTAATGATTTCATATTTTCTCCAGCAGCTAATTTCCATTTTCATTGGTGGAGGAAGGACTCAGGTGCCCCTCGATCCATTATTTAAGGCAGGCACAAGGTGCACCTAAATAGAAACGCAGACGTTTCGAAAGCTAACTGTACAACTTCCGAATATTGAAGAATTTCCTAGGGTAATAAGTGGACAACTGCTTAAAAGTCACGGATACCCCTTGCCAATGAGACTAATTAAAAGCAACCGCAATCGTTCATGATCTACATCAAATACCTTAACTGAAACTACTGGTGCACTTACATTTCTGATCATTACATTGTATTAATACTTCATTTCTATAAATCATTTGATCATGAAGTTTAATATTAATGCAATACAGATTTAATTTAAGAAGAACATTTTCTGAATAAATCAATTTGAAGAACACAATTGACATATTAACCTTAAAAATATGTACGTGCATTACAGTTTTAGAAAATTGGAAGTATTTTAAATGTAATGTAATTTTATTCATCATAATGTTAAGGGCACTTCAAATTTCCGAATATGGCCTGATATTTATTTCAAATGTTCTTATCACATTTTTATACATAACTCTCCTTTCGCATTATATTGCCTTGAAAGTATAAGATTTTCGTTTTAGAAATGCATTTGATACTGAACATTTTTTTTAAAAAAATACATCAATGTTATAAAACGAAAGTGTGGCTATATCATAGTTAATGAATAATGTATTACACAAAATGATGTATTGAAACAGACCTGACATACACGAACCGTGACATGAAGTTGAATGTGTAATACGCCATGTTTTAGAAATTAAGTAAAAATCAACGTTATGTTCTGTCAAATTATATTGCTTCCAGATTCTCGGCAAATGCATTTAGCTCGTAAATATAACGAGAGAAAAATAGAAAATGATTGTTTGTATTGCTACTATTGTTTTCCAGGTAAATGAGTAATAACTCTAACTGACAACTTCATGTGGTAAAATATTGGTAGTTATTATACCATAGTATGATTAGTCACTTACAATAGTTGCAAGTTTCAATTCAGTTAAATTCAAGAAATAGTTATATTATAATAGATTCACATTCATCGTAGGAACGAGGGCACAACACATTGATACAACTAATGCCAACAATATACTAGTATACGAAATGGAAAAATATACCAATCATTCATTTAGTCTTTTTGGAATTTGTTAAAAGGGGAAAAATAAATTGTGACCGACTTATCTTTATCTATATAAACATTCTCGACAACAGTATTCATCTCATTATAAGGTAGTTGACTTCAAATCACTTGCCCCTCATCAATGTGGTTTCAAAACTGTGGATTTTTTCATGCGGAAAACCTACCCAGGTGGATAACGTAACCTCCTTTGGGTGGATCTACCCGTGCCTGAAGTTTGCTTCTACAATATACCAGTAAAGCTAAAATGACTCTAAATAATGCCGCTATAAATACATAATGACAACATGTCTGGTATAATATTGTTAACTTTTCAAAGAATAAATGTTCAACATACATGTAAAAATAATACAAATACTAATAAGAACAGTGCTATTCTTACGCCATATATGTTTATCTCTTACTTTTACGTTCTCAATGGTCAAGGAGTATAAATTAAAAGACCCAGAAATAAAAAGGATATTATATGGAAATAGAAAAGGGTTTCCTGGTCTAATTGCTGTCTATTTACAGCTGAAATCATTATAATATGTCTGTTTCTTTGTCAGTCTGACATTAATTGGTAACTATAGTACATAATACTTGAATAATAGATTAGCAAAACAAACTATTTGACAATTCCTCGACAATGTCGTGCTGGATACGATTATTATCGTTATGATTATGGATAGCATGAAACATGGTCGAATAAGATGTCGAATGCTTTGCGTCTTTCTCGGTGAAAATAGAAGCATTCAGTTCATTATGCAAAAATGAATAAAAATAAAAGGGAAACATAAACAACGACGCCCAAAACAAGGCAATATGGAATATGTTGAAGTATTGGCTTTGCATGTACAGACTCAATCAAACAGAGTCTGCCATTTTCATGCTATTTTATTGTAAGTAGAGCTTTCGCGGGATCATTTTATTTTAGATAATTGGATTATTCGAGCCTGTTTTGGACAGTAGTTGTAACCGCCGTTTGTAGCGGTTTGGTGTGGCGAATGTTCGCGTATTACGAGGGTGTTCGGGGACGAATGGCGAAATCTCCTTTTTAGAGAGTATTTTCTTTTCTAGAGGGAAAATGAATTTCCAGATATTTTGTTGTTTTCTGTACTGAGAATACTGCGTCATACTTCAAATTTGGTAGGGATCAATTTGAGTATTTATGTAGAATACGCATACTTAATGTCAGTACGGTTGTCTGTGGATTTAACGTGATATTGATTGATTTCTTTGGCAGTCATACGGAGTTTCTTCCCTTGTCTGCAGATTCTGATTGTTTGCTAGTTAAACGTATTTACGTATCATATATTGTTGAATTTGAGACATTTCTAGAATACGTGTTAAAGAAGTTTTGTTTTGTTTACGACAAGTTTAAGGTGATTAGAATATTGTTATTAAACAAAGCTAAGTAAATATAAGTGACAAATGTTTCTTTTAAATCAGTTTCTTTATTCTGTTAAAATTAATTTGGACAATAATTAGCAACTCTCACTTGTAGTCTTATCTTCTTATAATTTTGTAAATCTAGTCAAATGATAATAATATCTTTGTATTGCATAATAATAATATCTTTGTACTGTATAACATATGTATGTATTTTCAGTTAATCGTATCAATAAACCTCTCTGGGATACGCATCAACAAACGAGTTGTATTGTCAGTACATCATTAACAAATTTGAAACCATGGATGGGAAAGATCCAATGGAAGGAGAACTTGAGGTAGAAACTGAAAGGAAAAGGACTTTGACCATGAAGGGATTAGAGTACAATAAAGAAATAAAATCAAAAGCAAGGCTACGAATGATAGAGACACTTAATACAAAAACTGAAGAGTTGAAAGGGTTATTACAACATGAAACAAGTGATAAACAAACTGTAAAGGGTGTGTACTCAAGCTGGTTGAACAATTATGAACAGTTGCTTATAGCACATGAACAGTATAAAAAATTATTGAATGAAACAGAATTGCACGATGATAATAGTCAATTTGAAAATATAACCAGCGACTATGCATATGTAAAGCATGAGGCAGAACAATGGTTTCTGAAAAACTGTAGTGTACGCGAAACAAGTGAACAATTAGAAACAAAATCTCATCATAGTGGCAGCTCTAGATCATCAAGTAGACATTCAAGTATTTCGAGTAACTTATCGATTGCTAAAATGAAAGAAAATCAAAGAAAGGCAGAACTGTTAGCAAGAGCATCAGCTCTAAAGGAGCAAAGAAAATTAGAAGAAGCAAAGTTAAGTCTTCAAATGAAAGAGAAGGAATTTGAAATTAAAACTGAATTACAAGTGAGTGATGCGCGGACTAAGGTTTTAGAAGACTTAGAAAGAAGCATGGTGGATGACCAATTGCTGGAGGACAATATTAAGTTTACCGACCACAAAATAAAGCAAGAACCACCTATGGAATCTCACATCATTCAAAATAAGTATGTACTAAATCCAAATTCTCCTGTGTGGATTCCAGAACGTTGTGTATCTACTGCTACTGAGCAAGGTGAAATCAAAGATGATGAATCATTCAGTGAACATGACTTGCATCAACATAATGTAAACAATGATGTTAAGATAGATAAGGCACAAACTGTTCACGGTTAGTCAATGTTCAGCAAGGGATTAATGAAATACCTGTTCTACAAACATCCAGCATAGTGAATTCACTGAATCGCGACATGAACTCTGTATCGAAAATAATGAATAAACCAAAAGCTGAAATCCAATGTTTTAAAGGCAATCCAATCGAATACAGCACTTTCCTTAGACAATTTTAACGCTAGAGTTTGTGCATACACAGATTCATACGAGGAACGTCTGAACTTTCTATTGCAATATACAGAAGATGAAGCACATAAAATCGTTCTTGGGTACTCTCATATGAACTCTGAAAGTGGATACAAGGCAGCTTTAGCCGAGTTTCATGAGCGGTACGGAGACCCGGACATAATAGCAAGAGCATACGTGAAAAGGGCACTTGAGTGGTCTCCAATCAGACCGGAAAAAGCACAAGATTTGGATAAGTTTGGAATATTTTTGAGGGAATGTCAGTTTGCTGTGGAAAGTTTAGATTCAGTGAGGGTTTTAGAATACTCCGAAAACTTAAGGCTGCTGGTGCAAAAACTGCCGTATTATTTACATGAAAGGTGGAGGAATATAGTGTATGACATTAAGAGTAAAAAGGAAGTGGTAAGATTTGAGCATTTGGTTGACTTTGTTAGAAAGGAGGCAAAAAAGGCCACGGATCCAATTTATGGTAAAGAAGTACTAAATACATCTAAAAACATCAACTCACAGGATAAACAGTCATCATCTACAAGAGTAAACAGGCCTTACGGAACGCGCAAAACGCTCATTACTAGTGTTTCAGACAGCGGTGTGAAAGAAAAGCATCACAATGAACGCGAAGCAGAAAGCCGGTATAAACCTGGTTCGGCATTTATAAAGCCATGTTTGTTTTGTCAAGGATCTCACGAGCTAGAAAATTGCAAGGAAATAACAAAATTACCCTTGAAAGAGAGGTATGCCTTTCTAAGAGACAAAGGTTTATGTTTTGCCTGCTTGAGGTCAGGACATCAAAAATTAAATTGTAAAAAAAAAGCAAACTGTAAGACTTGTACCAAGCTTCACCTGACAATATTACATGTGGAACCGCATCAGGACTCTCCTTTCAATACAAAAGCAACTGCAACTCATACAGGGGCTGGAAGTAAAATACATCAAGCTTTGCCAATTGTGCCTGTTCGCCTAAAAGGTAAAAAACAGCTGCAAGTATGTTGAAACTTATGCATTTTTGGACTCGGGGAGTACAGCATCCTTCTGTACAGAAAGATTGATAAGTAAACTGAACGTTCAAGGAAAACGGAAAAGAATAAATTTGGTTACTATGGGTCAAGAAAGCGTTCAAAGTACACATGAAATCACTGGACTGGAAATCAGTGCATTAAATGGGGAAAAACACCATCGAGCTTGGTCCAGTATTCACACGGAAATGTTTACCAGTGTCAAAAAGGACATAGTGTCAATCGAAAGTGTTCAGAATGGTCGCATTTGAAAGACTTACCATTGCAGAGAAATAATAAGTGACATTGATCTATTAATTGGTATTAACGTTCCAAGGGCAATGGAACCATGAAGTAATTCCAAGTGTAAACGGCGGACCATTTGCAGTAAAAACATCCTGTGGGTGGGTGATAAATGGACCTTTGGGCTCTAAACACAGAAAAAGACAATTGAGTTTCGGTGACGTCGAATTTACTAGAATCGAGTCCAGACCAGACTTGGAAAAAACAAGTCCTCAACCAGTTCAATCACGACTTTAACGAACGCGCTATCGACGACAAGCTTGAGCCTTCAGTGGAGGATCAACGATTCCTCGAAATTTGTGTCAGAATCTATTAGCTTTTTGAAAGATGGACATTTATACAGTGAATTTGCCATTTAAGAATTCTGATGTTGCTATGCCGAACAATCGAAAACAGGGCTGAGCAAAGAAACTGATATTATTAGCTAAGCGATTTAAGCGAGACACCAAATTTTATACGCAATATCAGGACTTCATGAGCAAGGTTTACGAGAGAAGGGTATGCGGAAAGGGTCCCAGGAAACAACTACAACAGACTGACTGTCGCGTGTTTGGGTAATCTGCCCCATCATGGTGTATACCACCCTAAAAAGGAAAAAAAACTGAGAGTAGTGTTCGACTGTGCGGCAAGATTTCACGGCACATCACTTAACGACCAATTACTGCAGGGACCAAATCTCACAAATACACTTTCAGGTACGCTTCTTAAGTTTCGTCAAGAAGAAATAGCCATAATGGGAGACATAGACAGCATGTTCTAAATCAAGTGCTAGTACCAGTAGAAGATAGAAGCTTTTTATAAGATTCCTATGGTGGGAAGAGGGAGACACAAGTAAGCCTATAATTGAGTATCAGATGACCGTCCATTTATTTGGCTCGACCTCTTCGCCAAGCTGCGCAAACTATGCGTTAAAAAAAAACCGCTATGGATTGTCGGGGACAGTTCAACGACAATGTGATAAACAACAGTTCTGAATAATTTTCTACGTTGACGACTGCTTGAAGTCTGTTTTCGTCAAGCGAAAAGTGCAATCTCCTTGCTTCACGATCTGAAGGTTCTATTAAGGCAGGGAGGTTTCAACATCTCCAAATGGATAAGTAAAACAGTAAAGAAGTTATGAATTCAATAACCCATCGCAAGAAAGAGCTGCCCTTGCCAAGGATTTAGACCTAGATTCAAGACAGTTTACCTATTGACAGAGCTTTGGGCTTAAGCTGGTGTGCAGAAACATACACATTTCGCTTTGTCTTAGCGATCAAAGACCAGCCGCTTACTCGACGAGGCATTCTATCAGTGGTTAGTAGCGTGTTCGATCCTCTCGGGTTCTTAGCTCCGGTTATGCTAAATGCCAAACTATTACTACAGGAGCTTTGTAGGTTACAGTTAGGTTGGGATGATCCAGTACCACCGAAATTTGCTGAGAAAATGGCGCATGATACTGTGCGATATTCAAAAGGTGTCCGAGTTTAAAGTGAACAGATGTTTCAAGTTCCCTGGGTTGTGGTGATATCAAGCACACAGAACTACACCATTTTTCCGATGCATAGTGAAAAGTGGCTATGGCATAGTCTCATACTTGCGCATGACGAACACGGAAGATAAAGTTCAATGTTCATTTGTCATTGGTAAATCTCTCGGGGTAGCGCCTCTGAAGAAGGTCACTGTACCACGTTTTGAGCTGACAGCAGCAACAGTAGCGGTACGTACAAACAAAATGCTGAAAGATGAGCTAGAAATGAAAATTGATAGGTCAGTGTTTTGGACAGATAGCATGTCAGTATTACGGTATGTGCGAAATACGACTTCTAGGTTTCACACATTTGTAGCCAACAGACTGATGATAATACATGAAGGCTCAAACGTCAGTGATTGGCGCTATATTAACACCAAGTTGAATCCAGCAGACATTGCTTCAAGAGGACTTCCTGTGGAAAACTCACTTTGGGGAGAAAGGTGGATTGAAGCACCTAAATTCTTGGAAATGACGGAAGAAAACTGGCCATCACTGCGGGAGAATAACTTCGAGCTCCGAGATGACGATCCCGAAGTGAAGAAAGTAAAGGCAAACCTCACTTGCGTAAAGAGTGAAGATGGTAGTAAATTAGAGAATGCGGGAACGGAGAAGTTGATAAATTACTATTCGTCCTGGTACAAGTTAAAAAAAGGCGTTGCTTGGATCTTGAAATATCGAAATGAGCTTCGTAAGCGTGTACATCAACAGGGTCAAAAAGGGGTTGTTGAACCAGAAGAGTCAGCCAGACTGTCAGTTGATGATTTACTAGAAGCTGAAAAGGCTATTGTGATGTACACACAGAGGACTGTCTTCAAAGAAGAAATTGAATTGCTGAAGAAAGGTCATCACGTGAGTCGAAAAAGTAGTATCAGAAAACTTGACCCCTATCTTGATGGTGGATTGTTGCGGGTTGGAGGGCGTTTGCATGAATCTAGTTTACCTGCAGAAAGTAAACATCCGAAATAATCTTGCCAAAGGGTCATCGCTTGTCGACATTGATACTTCAAAATATTCACCACAACTTGAAACACAGCGGTAGAAACCACATGCTCTCTGTCCTGAGACAAAAATACTGGTTGATTAATGCGCCCTCAGCTATAAGGAGCATTTTTTTCAAAGTGCGATTGTGTGTCGTAGACAGAAATCCCAGGTTGGAGAACAGAAAATGTCAAATTTACCAAAGGATCGTGTAAAACCAGACGAACCTCCATTTACTAGAGTGGGCGTGGACTACTTTGGGCCGTTTGAGGTGAAATTGAGGCGAGCCGTGTCAAACGTTATGGCGTGATCTTCACCGCTGCTTAGCAAGTAGGGCGGTTCATATAGAAGTGGCATACTCACTGGACACTAGTTCTTATATCAATGCATTGCGTAGTCGGTTCATAGCTCGCAGAGGTCAGGTTTCCAAAATGCGCTCAGACAATGGTACGAACTTTGTTGGTGCTGAACGAGAACTGAGAAAATCAATATCTGAATGGAATGTTGCGCAGATTCACGAGGAGATGTTACAAAGGGGTATAGATTGGCAGTTCAACCCCCCCCCCCCCCGGCTGGATCTCACCACGGTGGTGTTTGGGAAAGACTCATAAGATCTGTAAGAAGTGCCATGAACAGTACTTTGAAAGAACAAAATTCTTGATGACGAAGTCTTCAGACGCTCATGTGCGAAATTGAAAACCGTTCTTTAATGGCCGTCCAATTACAAGGATTTCAGATCAATTCGGCGACTTAGAAGCACTCACTTCCTAATCATTTACTGACATTAAAACGACTACCAAACTTACCTCCAGGGATTTTCGAAAAGTCAGATAATTATAGCTTACGGTCGATGGAGGCAGGTACAATACATGGCGGAACTGTTCTGGAAAAGGTGGTCTAAGGAGTATTTACCGCTTCTTCAAGAGCGGCAAAAGTGGCATGATGTGAAGAGAAACTTAAAAACTGGAGACATAGTGTTGATTGTTGACGCGAGTGCACCGAGAAATTCATGGCCTATGGGAATAGTTAAAGAGACAATACCAGACAAAAACGGATTAGTGCGACAAGGTAAAGGTTAAAACTGCGACAAACGTTTTGGTTCGTCCGGTTGACAAGTTGTGTGTCCTTTTAGAAATGATTGGATGAATAATTGTTTCAGACTGTATGACAATATCGCATTTTAATTCAATATAAGAAACACTGTACAACTTTAAAGGATATGACTCTGTTAACTTGACAATCATTTGTATTTCATTGTTTTATATTTATATTGTATGTTCTTGGACTATTAAGTAATTGTGTCACTGTTATGTGCGCCATAATTAAGGGGCTGGTGTAACACGCCGTTTTGTAGCGGTTTGGTGTGTGGCGAATGTTCGCGTATTACGAGGGTGTTCGGGGACGAATGGCGAAATCTCCTTTTTAGAGAGTATTTTCTTTTCTAGAGGGAAAATGAATTTCCACCAGATATTTTGTTTTTTTCTGTACTGAGAATACTGCGTCATACTTCAAATTTGGTAGGGATCAATTTGAGTATTTATGTAGAATACGCATACTTAATGTCAGTACGGTTGTCTGTGGATTTAACGTGATATTGATTGATTTCTTTTGGCAGTCATACGGAGTTTCTTCCCTTGTCTGCAGATTCTGATTGTTTGCTAGTTAAACGTATTTACGTATCATATATTGTTGAATTTGAGACATTTCTAGAATACGTGTTAAAGAAGTTTTGTTTTGTTTACGACAAGTTTTAAGTGATTAAATATTGTTATTAAACAAAGCTAAGTAAATATAAGTGACAAATGTTTCTTTTTAAATCAGTTTCTTTATTCTGTTAAAATTAATTTGGACAATAATTAGCAACTCTCACTTGTAGTCTTATCTTCTTATAATTTTGTAAATCTAGTCAAATGATAATAATATCTTTGTATTGCATAATAATAATATCTTTGTACTGTATAACATATGTATGTATTTTCAGTTAATCGTATCAATAAACCTCTCTGGGATACGCATCAACAAACGAGTTGTATTGTCAGTACAGTAGTAATTAAGAAAAAGATAATGCCCATGGCGCCTAGCACCAGCTAAAGTAGACTTCAGCATTTTAACATAATGTCTAATACATAAATAAAGTTGCAAAATGCAAACCACAAGACTCTCTAAACTTGAAATAGTCAAACTAGTTGTAATACAGAAGAGAAAACGTGTATGAAAATGATAAAAATGTGAAATATTTTTACTATATTTTATTTTGTTTATGCAGTTGTATTTACTATGTCTTTGGTGATTTTTTTTTCCGGCCAAAGGCCGGTCTGTTTTCATTTTGACTTCCTGTAAAATTACAGGAAAGAATGAAAATAAGAGTTTTCATTGGTCATTTCAAAATTACATAATGAAATCTAGGAATTTCATGGGCCATTCAAAAATAAAATCTAAAGGATAGTTCTTGCCATTATGAAATATGAAATGCACAGGATAGTTCTTTAACATTCTTGTTAATTTGCTCAGATATTCATTTTCTGTTTAACTTCTTTAACTTCTTGCATTCAGACCTTTTAACATTTTATAGTGAACAGTTTATTTTACGTAAGAACGCACTAAGTTTATTTTACACAAGATCTGAGTTTTAAATTTTATCAATAATAACGAGAATTATATCAAAACTTCTTAGGTACCCTTAAGTTATGATGTTCAATAAATTTCTAATATATTATTTTATAACTGATGTGTTTAATTAATATCATATCAATAATTTTATATATTTTTGCATATTAATCAAGCATTTATTTTTATAAAATAATTACCTTACCGACTGCGTAGATGTTGGTGTTCACTTACCGAAAACGATATATTTGTTTAGTTACACATCTTAAAGTGTCCCATTTTTCAAGATTGATTACCCTACAGGAAATTGTCATTGCTATGCAAGCTATGCCCATTTTTCTATATTACTTTGTATGGAAAACTAAGAACTAGCAAATGCAAGTTAAACAGTTTTAATTCGGCCAAATATTATCATTTTTTAAAGATACTTCTTGTTTTCTTCTGTTTATTTACGGCGGAGGGGGGATTGAGACCGGATATGTTATTTTGCGCCAAATCCTTTTGAAGTGAGTTAGTGCAATCTTAAATACTTTTTTGTCTGAATGTGAGGATTTGTTTTGCATTATTTTAAATATGTTAGCATCGAACAGAATCATTTAGCTAGGATTGTATGCAAATTTGATAATTCATATTGATTCCTATTTATTCCAAAAGGAATTTATATATTAGTGTATGAATGAAAGGCAAAATGAAAAGGTAATCATCATGTTGAAGTTGTTAAATTAAACATACTTCACTTACACATAACTTTTTCAACAGGGGCCAGCGTTCCCGATTTGTATGGGTAAGTTACAGGAGATATTTTCTTCTATAAATACCATATATTTTTTATATATTTTTGTACAAATGTATACATTTGTATGTATATTTTATGAATGCCATATCCTTGCACATGTTCTTGATATATTTCATCTATCCATTTACTTAGAGAACAACTTTTGCCTAACGTTTTTTCTAAAAACATGATCGATTACTGCAAGGAAGTATTCGGCGCGGTATGACCAGTAATATGTCAATGTTGCCGGTAATCCCAAAACAAGCAGCGTTCTATAGACAAAGGTTTTTTTTTGTAACACAGATCAAAAACGAAAACGATATAACATCTACTATCTAACTGAAATACAGTTTATGCTTTAAAACCTTCAATAACAAGTATACACACTTAATGAAATTCTAGTAAGCTAGACAGTAAAATAACAAACATCTTCCGTAACGAAACTTGATAGATTGTTTGAAAACAGCATGAAACATTTTCCGATTATTTTGATCACAAATATGCAATCTGTGATCTAAATATAGAGGACAATATATCTTTCTATATTGCATTGTTTAAGCAGTAGTATCATAACGTTAAAAGACATTTTTAGTGCGATAAAAATTACACCGCAATGAACATAATCTTGAATTATGTTTGTATGTGCAGCGTTCGCGTAGGTGTTGTTGCACGCCTTGCATGCGCGTCTTTTTCCATGCGCTTCAAAGAAACAGGCAAAAGTTGTACATGTATAAGGTTTAACTTTCTGTGATGTTTTCAAATTTTATAGCATAGTATTCATATGATAAAACAATAATTGACAAGTATGCTGTTGAATATAATGTGCTATTCACCGGCAGAAAATAATATTGACCTCGGCTATTGCCTCGGTCAATATGTCATCTGCCGGTGAATATCACATCGTATATAATGGCACACTAGTCAATAATTGTATAATATTGAATAAAGGTTCTCCCGATGCGTCTTAAAATGAAAACAATCGTGTCTAAATGTAATTATTACATATCTGTATTTGCCATGTCATTAAAACATTTGGAATATATGCATTCGAAAAAATATTTTGTGTCAATGACTAAAAAAGTTAAAAACAAGCATTTCTAAGATTTACATGAAAGTAACATAAGAAAAAACATAACACATTAATTTAAACTTTGAATGAATGATAATACGATTTTAGCAATTCGATATAAGAGACATATTTTTAAACCAGTTTTTTCATTAAACATATGAATGACAAGAACAAATTGTTTTTAATTGTTATTCTAACCATTTCAAAAGAGCGGAGATTTAAATATCCTTATAAACATATAAAGTGGATAAATATATAACGTAAATGCATTATATGTTCTGATTCTGAACAGCACAGTTATTTAGGTTAAGGCTTACATTCGAGAACAAGTTCAAATAGCATTTCCAGTCTGTAGTGTTGGGCATTAATGTTTCCGATTTCATTTCACTACTTAGCATGCCATTTATGAAACCATTATTATACTATAAAACTTCATAGAAGATTGCTAATTCAACATAAATGATATGAATAAATGATAAAACATCTTCAACCTCATGTTATCGTTTCGTACCAAATTTCTTTTATTTGCTGCATTTA